TGACTGTAGAGAGAAAACTGAAATGAATGGACACAGGCAGTCCTAGGAACACAAAGAAGTAATATTAAGCAGTCCTAGAAAGGAATTTGAGCCCAACCATTGTCTCATGATGAGGACAGAGATAAAGGGAAGGTCACTGCTGAGTATGTTGTCTTAGCAAAAAAATTGTTCCTATTAGTTTTTTAAAATGTGAGAGTTTTCTTGAGTTGGGTGGAGAACAAGACAAACAAGGTGAGAGTTCTGTTTGCAGCTTGTGGCATTTACAAGGTATGCAAAGTCCTGGATGACCTTGCCCGTTGACACCGTCCTCTGCAGGAGTAAATACCTACCTGGCACGTAAGGCAGCAGTTTGCTCACCCCAGCAGTATTTTCTCAGCTGATACCACTGTCTTGGGTATTTACAAAACCCAAAAGCTGTCCCCATTACTTGGCAATGAACAGTGTTTTTATCCACTGGTAGGGGGAGAAGGGAAACAAATTATATGGCTGTGGACATCATTAGCTAAATAAGGAGGGAACATCTGTTACTTCTGAAGGGGAAGTGGCCATATTAATGGGTTACAGCTTAGTCTTTGGAAATGACTTGAAAGTAACGTGAGGATTTCATAACTCTCTTGGGTTTGGGCCTGGGTTTTGTTGCTTACATAGATGCAACTGTGCCTGTTAAATTTTCCTAGTAGTAAGTTGCCTGCGTCTATCACCCCCTCACTGTGTCTGAGAAATGCAGATTTTTTCATGCAGCACTAGCAGTTGGGGGATGTTTTTTTTCTATCCAGTCTCACAAGCCAAGACTCATACAGTATCTGTCATCATGTCAAGAATATCCTGCATCAAAAGCAGCATGGCCAGCCCTTCAAGGGAGGTGATTCTGCCCCTCTGCTCCGCTCTGGTGAGACCCTGCTTGGAGCACTGCATCCAGCTCTGGGGTCCTCAGCACAGGGAGGACATCAGCCTGTTGGAGCAAGTCCAGAGGAGGCCACCAAGATGATCAGAGGGATGGAGCACCTTTCCTGTGAGGAAAGGTTGAGAGATCTGGGATTGTTCAGCATGGAAAAGAGAAGGCTTTGGGGTGACCTAATTGTGGCCTTCCAGTACCTGAAGGGAGCCCACAGGAAAGATGGAGAGGATCTATTTACAAGAGCATGTAGTGACAGGACAAAGTGGAATGGCTTCAAACTGAAAGAGAGTAGGTTTAGATTAGTTATTAGGAAGAAAGTCTTTACTGTGGCAGTGGTGAGGGAGTGGGACAGGGTGCCCAAAGAAGCAGTGGGTGCTCTGATCAACCCGCTCCCTGCCCGTGGCAAAGGAGTTGGAACTAGATGGTATTTGAGGTCCCTTCCAACATTAGCTGTTCTATGATTCTGTGATCATCCACTTCCCTAATTACTACTGTTCCCTTTCTTCCAGCTTCAAGGTCCCCTCTCCAAATGTTGCTACAGAGATCTTATCTCAAATCTGTCATTGTTACCTATACCCTGCTAACCCACAGTAAACCTCCCCATCAACCTGGAAGGATTTAGAGTATACAGGTACTTACAGAGTACATCAGTGCATAAAGGGGCTTAAACAGGACGTTGGCTTCTTGCAGGCTATCAACAAGGAACAATGAGAAATGCTGTAAGTGCACTGATGTATTGCTGTACAATAAGGTAATGCAATGCTCAGGCCAGCACTCACATCACTATGGTTACCCCAGAGGAGAGCTCAGGGTGTTCTGTAAGCAGTATTTTATTGCAACTCGTTGCTGTCCTCTACACACTGCTTTTATCATTATTTCTTTTGGTTTGTAGCATTAGGTTTTTGCTATCAACTGCTTAGTTTATGCATTTGAGATGAACAACAGTGGTGGACAATGATCCACATATTTACTTCACCATGTGCTACCTATTGCAGTGACAGTACCGTAGGAATTGTTAGTAGATGAGAGGAACTTTGATAATTTTGAGGCAGGAGATAGCTGCTCAAGGTCTACAGGGTTCTTTTTCTGCGTCCTCAGGGGGATTTGCTCTAGAAAGTGTTTCTCACAGTTTGTTGGTCTTTGCTGATTATTTCCTTGCTGCTGTCTGAGCAAGGGTAAGGTCTCAGAGGGTTTGAGTGAATTCACCACCTGAAAACAAGCTTGAGCTAGCATTGGTTGTCACAGTATGAGAAAAAAGCAGAGAGGGTGACAAAACTACAGCAGCAACTGTTTCAGTAGCTGTTCATGGGAACAAGCCAGCCTTGGATCATCCTGCAGGGATATTCACTTACTCCTTGGCTCTGTGGCACTGTAGGGTAAAAATCTCTTTGGTCTATATTGGTGGAGAGCCTGTGATGTGAAACTGGACACTTGCTATGCCAAAATGCCCTACTATTAACAGAGGTATTGACAGCTCCATTTTGTCCTGTTAACTGCAAAGAGGTAATGGCAATTGCCTTGTCCAAGTTCTTCCCTGTGCCATTTCTGCACCCAGGAAAACTCCACCGGTGTTTTCTCAGTGCTCTCCATCACTCAGAGAGAAACCTTACAGAACCACAGAGCAGACCCCACATTTTTGCATGGTCCAATCTGACTCACAGGTGTGTATAAAGACAAAACCAGCTTAAGAAGCATCTATACCTTACTTCAAAGGTACCCAAAGATATCTCTGCAATCCTTCTGTCCTGAAGACCATAAAACTTCTGCTGAATGGTATTTCTATGTTTTCTGGTCTTAACACCAGTTAACCTACAAGTACAAACCAAAATAATCCAAAAGGTTATTTGCAGGGGCCCTTGCTTTGTAATTTTTTTTCCGGAATTATAAAACATCAGTTCCAAGGAATAGAGATGGTCTGGCTCCCCTTTGGCTGGCCATTCTCTCCCTCCCTGTACAATAGTGCTCAGCAAGGTAGATGGGTATGTGGGGATAGTGAGGTTTTTGGCTGTTTCTTTCATTTCTGAACACTGCAAATGAAATACAGGGTCAAATGCAGGTATTTTTTTTTCAGGATAAATGTACATAATTTGACCCACATGCTGAAAACCTAGAAAAGAGTATCTCCTAAATTTCTTTCATTGCAGAATTTAAAATTAAAATCATTAAGCAGAAGGAGAAAATAATATGGGAGAGGACCCAAACAGTCCATTTTGGCAATGCAGAGGTGGCCACAACCCTGGCCTATTTGTAGTCGCAGGGGAGGTTGCAGCAGAATCATGTTACGCAAGATGTGCACTGCAGTGGTTGGAGTCAGAGTGCCTCTTGTGCCTCTCCCTGAACTTGCACTGGGCACAAGCACTTACAACATTGGCAAAAAGATGTGGGAGTTGGAGATTTTCAGGAAATTTGCAGAGCTTGGGAGCAGGAAGGAGTGGGTAAGTGAAGGGAGGAGAACAGAAACTGGTAGAAGAAATGGACAGAGAGAAAGAAATCCATGGTAGCTGTTTGGGCAGAAATGCACCAATTTACCAGGCAGAAAAGTACCAGTGGAAAGGGAGGGAACGAGGCCAGAAGAGGTGCAAAATGGGACTGGAAAGCATTTGTAATCTTTCATCAAGTCTTTCAACTGTTTTCCACTCTACTGTGATTATGTTTAACTGCTAGTCTGGGCTGGTTTGTGTGTGGTGAATGTAAATGAGACCAGTGGGTTGCTAAGGTCTGTATCAAATGCAAAATCAAGTGTCTGGTTCATGACAAATAAATGTTGCAACTTGTCTGTGGAACTGACACTGTTTTACACAGTCAGGCATGAGGATCTTGATCCTGCCAACACTTACAACCATAGCATCTTCATGGATGCTCCTAACTTCCTTTGAGCATGTATATAACTATGTGTTTGGGTGTCAGGGCTAACACCTGGCTCTGAATTCTACAAAAAAACTCATTGTAAGATGAAAAAATATAATCAGTCAACATTAACTTGCTAAGAACACTCCAAAATAGAGCAGGATCCTCAGAAAAAGTACCATAACGAGACCTTAGCGTTCTTTCTTTTTTTTTTTTTTTCAAAAATGACTTGTGTTTCACAGGCAGCTTTTCTTTCTGTTTCTAATTTATTTAACATCGCTAATGATGTTCCCATCATTTGAGAACTGAAAGGCAGAAAATCCCCACCCAGCAGAGAAAGACTTAAAAGACTTCAACGAGGAAGACCTATTTTGCAATCGGCGTGTTTTCCCCACCATGATGGTGAGCAGGAGGGGTAGCATTTTTAATGCAGGAAACTTGGATCTCATTTGCCCACATGCACACTTTGCAAGTAGGTACCAGAGAAGGAAGGAGGACTAGATGAGACCCAGTACAGATGAAGTTCTTGTTTGAGTACGTTGTCTGAGTATGGCCAAGTGCCGTGTCCTCTCCAAACACCCTCCTACTTTCCAAAATCAAGATGAGGCCAATGGAAACCAGAGCTGTGCAGCACTCCAGAGGGTCATGATCTTTTTAACTGTTAGACTAGTTACAATGGACTGGAGAGCAAGGATATTGGTGAATTAATTAACTGCTTATTTCAGATGACTACATATGGGAAGACATAGAGAATATATAAGAAGGGAAGGAAAACATGCTACGCTGAGGCCATAAGCAAGGCCAATTCTTCAGTCACTTTGAACTGAACTCGTAATTGCTTCTGTGAGTTTAAACAGTTATTTTAATAGTCCAACAACTGGCTTTCCTTCCCCTCAGCAGATCATTTTTCATTTGAATAGCAAATTGTTTGGAACTGAAGGACAGATCAGGTGTCAGTCCCCTTTGTAAAATCAGGTACAGCCTAAGTTCAACAACGTGTGTCACACAGACTGCACTTCTGTCTGCAATGACTGTGTTTTACCTCTTTTAGAGTCATCCCTGCTGATGAGGCAGAGCTAGGACTGAAGGTTACTGTGAAAGGACAGCCTTGCTGGGAGAGCTCCTTGTATTGTTTAGATTCCACTGGAAGTGGGGGTGATACTGGAGGGCTCCCAGAGACCCTGGTGGGTGTGGGCAGTGGCAGAGCTCTGCCAGAGCAAACACAACAGCTCATTTACTTTGTCACCCAACAAATCAGGAGCTTTATAAAGATGGAAGGAAGAGTTTTGTGGTGGCAATTGACCCTCATCAATGATACGTGGAACTCCCTCAAGTCCTGCCTTCAACCATTCAGTGCTACCCTACTCGCTCTGCTTCACCTCGAGATCTACAGAACCAACCCTGAGACAGCTCTGCCTTTCAGAAAACACTGATGGTGCTGCTGCAGCAGGGTCATGGTGCCAGATGGCCTTCCCAAAACTGCCTGAGAACCATTTGCAGTTTCTCAAACAAAGGTGAGAGACCACCCTTTGTTTCCAGGGCAGGCCTTTTGGAGTAAGCAACTTCACAGAAAAAGAATCAGTTTATTGAGAAAGTGATCCCTTTCCCTGCCACCCAGAGAGAAAATCCACGAACACACAGAAGAAGGAAGTTTTCAGCAAGACCCCCAATGGAAATCTGGTCAGATTGCAAGCTGTGGCATTTGGCCACAAAGGAGGACTGTCCTTTAGGCTCGCCTGTAGCCCACTGCCCTGAAGACAAGCTAGTTTGGCTCTTATATTTGTATTTTAGTGCTCTCTATTTCACTCATGTATCCTAGACATAAACATATTCAGACCATGACTGATAATGCATAGCTTGCTATTTTAGCATGAATATAACAAACTTTTGAAAGAAACTGAGAAGCTCTCACTTGCTTATTCTTTTATATGTTTTAAGAAGATGGTGATTTATTAATAAACATGTAATTACTTTTTCTGAGTTCCAGGTGACAAACAAGCCCTGGTACAAGTGTGCAGCAGGTTAGGGACTGTCATTGCAAATGACTGAGTCAGAAAAGATCCCTTTTAAGGACAAACATGGAAACTTTTAGAAAATTAATGAGTGACTTAAAATACACCCCTCCGAGACTCTTCATACGATAAATATACTGTCTCCATTAGAACCCTTGTGATTCCTCTTTGCCCACTTTCTAAGAGTATAAAAGCTTGATCACATTTTCATTAAAATCAAAGGCAAAAGTTTCAGTACTCTCTGCATAGGATGAGATACTTATTATATTTCAGTAGCAATGTTTTTTATTCCACAGAAGAAGTTTCTTTGGTTCTTTGTTCTACTATTCTTTAATAGGTGTGTTTCAGACAGAATTATCTGGATTTGAATATGGCCTTTCTGAGAGAAAGAAGTGTAAAATTACCCACCAAGAGTTGATCTTTGCCAACATTTGTCAAAAACTGATATTAATAAATAGGAACTGGTAGGTTGTCTTTCTGAAGTAGCTTTGAGACCTTCAATAACATTTAAAAATGCTCTAAATGGAGAACACATCCTGTCTGGCAAGATGAGGTGTAAAATATGCCACATGCGACCAGATGGCTGCACAAACTTGTCTGAAATTGCATAAGGAGACCACCACTTTCTTCTGTGGCTGTAAGAACCTGTCAGCAAGGTCTTGTGCTGTGTAGGAACTATCACAGGACTTGGCTGTGGAGTTTAAAAGTCACTAATCAGGCAACTGGGATGAACAGAAGACTGATAGTATACTTAACTGTGGCTTTTTCAAGGCTTTTTTGTGCTTGCTTTTTCAATAATTTTTCTATGCTTCTGGTTTTACTGCCTTTTTTTTCCCCTCTGCTATATTTTCCCTACTGCTATTAAAAGTTTCAGTTCTCTTTTTGTTGTTGTTTTTAAGAACCTGCTACCTGTAGTGTACACAGAGAAGTACTGTGCTCTGCATGGGAGTCTTATTTCATAGCTGTGAATAAAGTGGTCACTCCTTTCTCAAGCCTTTTTCACCATCAAAGGGGAACAGCTGAGCAACAGGGCCAAAAGCACTGTGTGCTTTTAAGACTGCTTCAGAAAATACCCATTAAATCATTAAACAACAAGCTTGTTCAGCCTCGAAAATCAGCAATGGCAGTCTTGAAAACACAAAACCTCTTCTTGTTTGGATCCCTGCACCATGAACCTGAAGAAGTTGAAACTGAGAGTGCTCAAAGCAGCAAAGTGATGGCTCATATGCCAGGTGTGGGCCTGGGGTTGAATCTCTCCTCGTCATACCCCTGCAGCTGGGGTGGTCCTCAGGAGCCCAGGTGGTTCCTTTCCAGCTCTCTACTTCCCTAAAGAGGAGAAGCTGCTTTTCAGCTGCCTGCATGCTCTGTTGGACGGCACGTTTATGGGTTATGTTGGAAGCCTGGAAGACACTGGTGTGCAAAAGAGTTTTCCTCTTGCACGGGACTAACTTTCCCAGTCACCCTTCCCCAACTCCCTTTTTTTCAGGGACTGGCTGCAGCCAGGATAAGCTGTCTCCTAGTAGCATTATGCTAGAATGCTTTATTGTTCAATAGCATTAAGCTTTATCAGTGTGAATTGGCTCCCAAATGGGTATGTCAGCCTGGACTGTTGAGCAGTCCTGATGAATAATAGGAGGATAAAGGCAGTTAATTGAGGGGAAATCCCCTCACACAGACAAAGAAAATAGATTTCTACTAAATAGCCAGCACGTGGAGGGCAGTGCAAACTTCCCTAAGCTAAAACCTGACTCTTTTACTTTACCACAGCACCAAAATAATTCCCAAGAAGCAAAGGGATTTGTGTTAGTGTAGCTGACATTAGAAGTGGGGCTGCCCCTCTCAGACTCCAAACAGAGAAACACATCCAGTCTTTAGACTTTGTATTGAATGACTCCCACATGCTTAGGGAGTTAGAAATTTTCTTTGTTAAAAATGAAGTGTACTCCTCGTGGGTCAGCTTCTGAGTTGCTGATGCTCTGCTTGCTGAGTGTGTCAGCTAGGCCCTCAGGTCCACAGAGAAAAACACCTATTCTGGAGCTGTTGAGAAAATGAAAATATGGTCAGAAACTAGGTATGGATGCTCTTCCTGTAGATAATTTTTATGTTCTTTTTTTTATGTCTATTTTTTTCCTCAGTTACAGGAACTAAAGTAGAACTGGATGTCTCCTTCTTAAAATTTATAACCCCTTAAAACTTACTGCTGCTTTTAAAATAAAGGTGGGCTAAATCTTAACTCAGTAGAAGTCAGTGAAAACAGGTTTACAACCTCATTGGATTAAGGAAATAGAGTTGCAAAGATCTTATGGCACAAATCTTGAGAGAAGCTGCCTGGTTTTTTCCTACTAATTTTAGCTGCTTAATTAAAGGTCATCCATATTCAGGTTTCGGTTTTGGAAGTAGAAAGTTTTTTTGGAGGTATTTAGGCATCACCTATCATTCCTATCTACTTCAGCTGACATGATGGGGTATGTTTTTTTCCTAAATCTTCTGCTAGTAATTATACACTCCAAGAAGTACCTGACCGAAAAAGGATGACTTTTTTTTTTTTTTTTTTAAATTGTAGGTCAAAATGCTTTGGTCAAGATCGTAGTTCATGTTCATTGCTGAAAAGAGAATAGAAGATACCTGGAGATTGCTAGAAAAAAAAAAAAAAAAAAGCTCCTCAGACTTTATCAGCCAAAGGAACATGGCATTTAGATAGAGGAAGTCCTTAGATATTATAAGTTTGCACAGGTTTACCCAGGATGCCGCTCAGCAATAGTTTTGAACTCATTTTCCCAGTTAGGTCTTCCATACAAGGTCTTCTGTTTAAGGCCTGTAATCACATCTTTTTCTTCTTCATGATGCACCACGAAGTGAGTGGCCTGTGGGAAATGAAACACAAAGGACAGTGTAAAGGCAGAGGCAGATATGGCAGCATAATGTCCTGTTAAAAAACTAAGAATGTCAATATTGACTGCGTTATTTCCCAACAAAGAATATGGAATTTATAGTGTTTTGAAAGGAAAGCCAACAGTAATAAAGTCCTGACTATCAGTATCTACCCATTACTTTTCAAATATGGGACGATTTCAAGAGTTAAAGTTATGCAGCATTGATCACAGCAATCAGTTACGTTTCTTTTGCAATGAACTGTTTTGGTCTAAGAACTCTAAAGTAAGGCTGTAAATTAAAACAAAACTTTCCCTTCAGGTACATTAACACAACTCCCTTGACTCTCATGAAATCCTGTCAGTTTGCTCTCTGGAAGGTTTGATCCATATGCATAACTTTCACCTAGACCAGTTCAGTTAAACCAGGAAAAGATGTGGTTAAGGGCTTAAGTTCTGGCCTTGTAGAGTTCTGCAGAGCTTTTATGTGAGGAAAAAAGAAAGAGTTACAGGTAACTTTCTCCCCGAGCAAAAATTGTGGGACTTTTCTTTTTCCCTTCCTGTTTTTTAACACTGCAAGTGTGATAACATCTTACCTTGCTTCTCCACTTCCCTCTCTGTCTAGCTGAGCTACAGCACTGTAGGCACATGGTGAATTTTGCAGCAGTGAGATGTAACTAAATAAAAACCTCACTAAAAGTAAGAGTGAGCACTTGATTCATCACACGTTCTCAAGTGGCTGCTCCTTTGTACCCTCACAGCAATCTACAGATGTGGGACCAGACAAGGAACCCATGGGAGTCCTGAAACAAATATGCTGCTATTGTTCATGCTTTGTGCGTTAGCTTCTCTGGTCCAAAATGCTCTTAATTATGTGCTTTAGGCAGCATTAGCTGTTTTAGAGATACTTCCATGGTCAGCTGAGGTTGTTGCTATGAGGAAGGCCTGATTCCCACAGTGCACGGCCAGAGTAAACCAGATAGGATGTCAGAGTGCACATTAGTTGCTGATCTCATGTAACTCCTGATGGATAATACCTGTCTGCATTCAAAAGCTCTGAGAGACAGATGGACGCCCAGGATAAAAGTCCACTTGAACATTTATCAAAACAGACTTGCTAACATTAACCCCAGTGCACGTGGAAGTGATATTTTCCACCGTGTGGTTACCTGAGTTTCATCCCAGCCTGTAAGGTAGATATTGTAGCTGAGAAAATCTGCATTATTCCTCTCCTGCATTTGGGCCTCCAGAGATTGCAAGAGATCAGCAAACCATTCAAAGGCATGAGTGTCCCTGCAAAGCCAGTAAAAATAAATCTGGAAGAGACAAGAGTGAGCTGTCAGGGGATATAGGCACTTATGGTTTCTGGGTTTATGTCTGCTGACAGAGTGAGGATTGTGGAGTTCTTGTAGAAACTGTCCTGACCACTTCAGTAGATGGGTAGGATGCTGTTGAAGCTATTCAGGAGTTTTAATGCTGGCAGGGTTGTAAAGCTGAATGACTTATTGAAAGAACAAGGAAATATCTTTCTATTTCTCTTCCACATTTTTAGTTCACAATGTTTCCCTACTTACATCCTTGTAAAACAGTTTGTTAGGACATAAAGAAATGACTTAGAGGTGAACTCTCTTTCTGTCTGCTGGCAGGCAAGATAAAGCAGATAACAAAACCAGTTCTGTTCTCTGAATAGGACCACAACTGCAAAATATGACCCCACACCTCTGCACAGGGAGTTTCCAGGTGCAGGAGGGGAGAGGAAGATGGTAACTTTGCTCTTCCACTGATGAAAAGTTGTTCTCTTTGTGCTTGGGGAAGGAATGCAATATTTGCCCAGGCTGCATTAGTACCTCAGACTTTGTGTTCCTCAAGCAGATTGAACACCATCTGCAGTGCAAGTGGAAATCCCCAGGACCACAGTCGGTGTGTGCATTTGCTCGTGGGCTATTTCTCCTTTCATTATGCTTTTGCTTTTGATCTCTCCTACTAACCTTGTGAGGCAACTGGACTCTTTCTTCTTTTAGTACTCACGTATATCTGGAGCCAGATAAGCTTTGCTGTACCTGTTTTGATTTGGGCTCTTGGCTCTTGAACAATTACATGGGCTCTGGGGATGAGGACATGTACCTTCTTGAGTTTTAGGTTGGTTGCATCGTGGCAGTATTTGTACCACACAGACTTGAGCACAGATGCAAAGGGGGTGACCCCTATTCCAGCTCCCACAAGCATAACAGTTTCATAACTGAACACGTCCTCACTCGCTGTTCCAAAGGGGCCATCCACAGCTATCCTGAAATGGAAAGTATGCTCAGTAAATCAATAGTGAATATTTATTAACACCATTTAAAATAACAGCAAAAGGGTATTTGTCTGCTACAATGCATATTGGGACTGAACACTCATCAGCAAAAGGAGAGGTGGAACTGATAGAAGAAACTGTAAAGAGCCACCTAAAGCTGTGATGAAAGTAGTCAAGGTTTTATCGCTGGTGTCACCAAACTGGTTGAGCAAAATTTAAACTGTCACAGGTGTTTGTTAACTTTACCACAGAGATTCTTTGTACATACTTGGGCAGCTTCCATGCCTCCTGGAATTCTTGTTTATCACACCCACAGGCATTGAACAAGCCCTCTGTCCAGTCTCCCACAATACGGACGTGAATGCTGAAGTAATCCTCTTCTGGAGCAGAGGTTAATGTAAATGGATGCCATTCCAGTTTAGACACAGCTGGACATTTGACAAAAATGTATTGTCCAACCTCCATCTTGAAGCCTTTTTTCATCATCTGGAGCTCAATTGTCTTGAAGGGATGAATGACCACCTGTGGTGAGAAGGACAAGGGAGAAAAATAGGAAAAGACAATGTCTGTGTTCACTGTTCACTGATCACTGGATGTATCAACATCTTCCATCCCTGTCATCATCCTCTGCTGTGAGAGCAAGGGAAGCAGGTGAAACTGTCTTCCCAGCAGAACTGAGAGTGAGGAACAGCACCTGACAGCCAGATGAAAGCCTGGAGAAAATGTCAATTTTTTTGTTTTAAATAGTTTTTCACACCATGCTTGGAGTCCCTCCAAAAGGGACAGGCCAGACCGGCACATCTTGTAACACATCACCAGATCTATGTGTGCACGTTGTTAATTCCAGATGCACCTTACACAGTGACACAGAGCATGTTTTTAATGGAACTGACTGTAAATAAATAAAGGGGAAAAACATAGAGCTATCCTCCTACAGATAGGGAATTGGATAGGTAGTACCACTGGAAATTGACATATAGTTGGGTGGAACCTTGGCTGTTTTTTTAGAATAAATGGAAGCAATATTCTAGAAGCAAGGCTAGTAGTTGCTAGTAATTCTGCCACTGTGATTTTTTAGTTCTAAAGTTGTCTGACCAAAGTTATTTTCATTTTTCAAAAGAGATTTGCAAGAGGGAGAATCAGGCCTCTCTATCTGCTAATGTAAGTATTAATAGCAGTGCTTACGACTATGGAAGACATTTTGTGCTAACAGGTCACTAAACAGACACCATAGACATATGGTGTAGAAATGGCTCACAGATATTTTGGTAAAATTACCAAAAGCACACTAGTATATATAGGCACCTTCCAATGTGTCAGCATTGTTCCAGAGCATTTGAACAGGGTGTGTCCTCAGGATGCAGCCCAGTGTCATGTAAGGAAGTTACACTGGTAAAGGCCAGGGCACTTTTTACATGTTTGAACTTAGAGCCTTGCAAATTTGACTGTCAGGCTTACAGAACCTGTGCTAGTATTTCTGCAACACATCCTGGGAGTGGAAGCTCAGCATTAGATTTGAGGGTATAAAATAATCAAACTTTAACTGTCATTTTCAGAAGTCATTGGTTCTGTATCTTAAATTACTCTTAAGTCTGTTGAATTTCTGCATTGTAGAATTTTTCACCCGACACAAAGAAAATTCTCTTTGCTAAGATTCAGTCCTATGCCTTAGCTAAACTTCCTTCTCTTGGTCCCTTTTAGAGAATGTTAGAGGTTTGCATCATGACAGCAGTCACAACATGCCTTTCACTGATAACTTTGTTGTGTAGGAGCCTCTGGCTTTGCTGCAGCATTTGGAAAAAAAACAGTACTGTTTTGCCTGGTATTAGGTGTAGCATCAGCACATACCTTTGTGATAACAACCTTCTGCTGTGACCTCCAGAACCGCACCAACCTCTCACACAGGTACAGAAACATGGGACCTACTACCCATTTCCATGTCTGTAAGCAGAAGACAATAAGTCAGGTGATGAAAATCATAGGATCATAGAAAGGTTTGTGTTGGAAGGGATCTTAAAGATCATCTAGTTCTAACCCGCCTCCTGTGGACAGGGACACCCTCCACTCGACTATATGGCAACTTGGGTTAAATCAAATCCTGGAGGTGCTACAAGCAGAGAGGAAGTTCAAGTAATCTAGGTTTCTTTTAGTCAGAGTTGGGAACCCTTAAGATAAATGACTCCTTCAAAATTCTGGACAGAGTTACATCTGGCTTTTTAGTTTCTACCAGAGTTACACCAAGATGTTTTCCTACAAGCAATTTTGTCCCTGTCTAAAAAATAAGGTAACAAAGTGAAATGTGGAGTAAAACTCTAAATGTATTATTGACTCATGTCTGTATTACTGCAGTAAAATATGTGGTTTCTGTTAACAGATCAGTCTGATATGTGAAAGAAAACCCAGCTTGGTTAGTCAATAAAAGCTGAGGTTTCAATGTCACTTTTCCAGAGGCATTAATTTTCTGTTAATGATCCATTAATAATCTGAAACTATCTGTTATGCAGTTTCTAGGAAACCCCAGAAGCCATTTTTCACTTTTTGGATAAACAGTTCTCAGATACCATTTGCTCATTTGCTTTGCCTGTTAATTGTGCTCATTTTAGCGTACACTGAAAGTGGAGTTGTCTATCTGTCTGTCTGTCTGTAGTCCACTTCTGCTTATCATCCATTGTGTTGAAATCTATTGCTTCATGTAAGGAAAGCTGCCACTGAAGAGCACTGAGGGTTACATGGCTGTTTTTCTATGCAGGTGCATATATTATTTAAGAAAAAAAGTAAACTGTAAACATTTTCAATCAGATCTACACTCAAGCCAACTTTTCTTACCATAGGAGGATTCCCTGAAAACTGGGGGATTGGGCAAGCCCCTTTCTTCCCCCAGTGAGTGAAGTTCTTGTAGCAAATCTCTGGATTATGTTCAGCCAGACTCTCAGCTGTCTGCCCCCGTACAATACGCCTGGAAAAAAAGTAAAGATCATTAAGGCAACGAAATTAAAATGAAGGTATCTGTCCCTTACTGTTATTCTATTTATGTACTACTCTATTTATACTGAGTTGTGGACTTCTACACTGCCACAGCTTTGATACAGCTTTACTGCTCTAATCAAACCCACAGAATTGCTAGTAAAGAAGTAAAAATGGGGAGGAAAGATCTTGGGAGAAAATACTGATTTCAAGATTAGGTAAAGAACCCAGAGTGCCATTTCCAGGATGTGGTCATAATAGGAGAGCTTTTTTTCTTTTCTGAGTTATCCTACCTTTTTTTTTTTTCAAATAAACAATAATAAAAAAAAAATACAAAAACCCCAAACAAACAAACAAGCAACAACAACAACAACAAACCACCAAAAAATCTGAAACCTGGAGTTGACAAGCAATCAGTTTTCTGCTGACCAGTACAAAGATTATGTCTATTATCTTACAAATTTGGAGAGCCCTTTCCAACATATGTTCTTACTCTGACCTTTCCTCTCCCTCTAAAGCTGTGGAGCAGCCATTCAGATGGTGTGAGTGAACACAGATGTTTCTGACACAAAGCAACTATGCCAGCTATACCAGCTCACATCAGCTGATTTTTGGCCCTTATATTCTTGCCTGGTTAGGAGTTTTTTCTGTTGTTGCTGTTTGTTTTATTATAGAGAATTCTGACTGATCCAGCTGTATTTCCAGCAGCAGAACTATTGCTGAGAGACAGTTTCAGTTTTGAGGGGAAAAAGTGTATTCTGATCTTGTTCACTATTTCCTGCCCCTCTCTTGAGTTCTGCCAACCTCAGGGGCACGTGAGAGTCCCAAAAATGATGGCAATTAGTAGATAAAAATTAGTAGATAAGAATCATAATAGAGAAATTCATATTAGATCTGATGATTTTGCCTAGAAACACTCTGATTCTGATCAGGTTGTTTGGTTTTATGGCTATGTATTTCTGTCGATATCTTCTTTCCTTGACTTCCCTTTCTGCTTTTCTAGCTCAGTGTCCATGAACTAGACTGCATTTCTGATATTTCAAAAAAACCCCATGGTATCTAAGTCATATGCATGGCTATCTTTGGGTGACAGATTTATCAGAGGATTATTAGAAAGCCTGTGTACATTCTTGAAAGTTAAGATATTGCACTGCTCATAAATATTATTAATGAACCTCTTCCTCGTTAAAGATTTGATTAATATCCTGCCTGAAAAATAAAGGGAAGCAGTGACACTGTCCCAGGAACATCACGAGTTGCAGTTTGCAGTTGCAATTTACTTCCCCACTAATGACAACGGGTTCAGCTGAGCCGCCCTCTGGGATGAGTTACGGGAACAGGAGGAGCCCATTTCCCCCTTTGTTCACCCCATTGCTTAAGGGAAAGGGGGCTTGAGAGTTTCTGTGCCTTGCCCTAAGCTCTGTTCAAGGTTTGAAAATGCCAGTACCCTGTACAAGAGAAACAAAAACTTATTTTCCCTTACAACTCAGTGTAGATGCTCTTCTGGTACTGTAATTCAGCTTTCAGCAGTATAGCCTTAAAATGACTTCTTTTTTTTGGCTGAAAGTCTTTCTTTAGCTTCCAAAGCAGAGTGAACTACTCCTCTGTACTCTCCTCTTTTTACATTTATTGTGATGAGAAATTTGGGACATTTGTCTGTGACACATAGCTCATGCACAAAAAAACATTAGTGCTACAATAGCGATGTAACAGCTTGTGTCAGACGAGAATCTGTCCCTTTGAGTCTATTAATAGTATTTGGTTTGGTTTTCTGTGTGTATATATATATATCTATGTATAAATACATACATGTGACAGTCTTCTGTTTCCTGAGGTAAACTGACATCTATGCCTCTTTATGACAGCATTCTGTAGTAACTACTGGCAAGTTTGGACATTGTGTCAGTAACTCTACAATATTTGCTGCAGAGAACATGAATCATTTGTTCTTTTCCTTCAGTAGGTTTTGCACAAACATTCTTCTTGTTTTGAAAATTGGAATGGACAAATAGTTGGGGGTGATCCCCATCTGCCTTCTATTTTTGTTCTTCCTGTTTTACTCTCATTTCTGTCTTTTTTAATGGCATTACTGGCCGGAAAGAAGTGGTTTTGAATAGTCAATTTTCGCTGGGCATTTTTCAAGCATGCTTTCTAATGGATCTAGAATTTCCTTTAAAAAGGACAATGTAGTGTAATTATGAACTACAAAATGTGGCATGGATACTTGAGTCTTTCTTTTTTCTTTATTCATCATAATTGGTTTTGTAAAATGGAACTAAAGTTCATTTTTTCTAAGGGATAAAATGTGTAGTATTAAAACTGTTTCATTAGGGTTTTCAGTTATTTCAAAAGAAAATATGGAATGAGGTAACAATGGAAAAAAGAGTTTGGCATTTGGATGTTAGAAAAACTTAGAGTTGCCCTGTATCTGAGCTGCAGCAGCTAAAAATCAATTCTTAAATGCTGCTGATATTAAAAGTTCATCCAATCTGGAACATAAATCCATATCTATGATTACTATAGCTTTCATTTACCCAACAAAATTCTAAACTCTATAAAATTTTTATACTAAGATCCCCTTATGTGCATGTGTGTGAAGCAATTTCTTTTAGGAGAGAAAAATAAATTAACAATTAGAAACAGGAACCTTGGAAAAGAGCTTTACAATTAAGATGTCAGAAGAAGCTGAGCGTCAGTGAGCTGTTTGCCAAAATCTCATAAAACCTCTTGTGTGTGTGGACAGCTTGCTGCACCCATCAGCGAGAGCCTCTTGGCCCTCAGAGCCTGTATTGGCCCACCACTTTGACTGGCACATCAAAAATAACCTGTTGCTCAGTGACTGAGATCCTATTCTCATGGGTGTAGAGGGCTTTAAATTAAAACACTGTAGTTATCACGTATTTTGTGACTAAGCACAAATACTCACCCAGCACCGTGGATGACGAGGCCAATAAAGAAGATGACAAAGAGATGGTGGGTGTACCAAAATACTTCAAAATACGACCTCCGGATGGTCTTGGTGGATGATGTGATGATCAGAATGAGGGCCAGCGTGATGATAACGCCAGTGAGACCAGCCAAGTACGTGAAAGCCACATATAGGCCCCCCACAGGATTCTGTGAAATAAATATTGAGCTAAAGAAGGGCACCAAAGCAGAGCCAGTTGAACCATCACTCACCAAGCCCTGTACCTTGTTACAAGTCTGAAGTCCACCCTCTGAGAATTTGTTTGCCAGTAAAGCCAAAATCCCACTCCAGTCAGAAGACTGCTTTGCAGGGTATTTGGTTTTGCATCATGATTTTAAACTACTTTGAAATCCTAAGGTGAAAAAGTTCAAGGTGCCACCAAATTTTAGCAACGCTGTTCCCGACAAATAGAGAGAATTAATTATACAAGGTTTTGCTGCAAGATGGCCCAAACCTGGATTTTGCACACCAGAAATAGGCACTCTGTTCTTATATGATCATCAAAATAAATGCAATAAGGATTTCACAGCCTGATTTCACTTACCCCAATAGTTTGTCTAAAAAAGTTGACATAGGTTTCTTGAGGTTTGTCACCAAGGCTGGAAAGCACAGCTGCCAGAGTTTCTTTCTCTTCAACACGGGCATGCACACTCCACTCTACGTTGAATAAGTGTGCAATGGTGTGAATTGCTGGGAGGGACAGGAAATAATCAGCATTAAGCACAAGTACTCAGTGGTTTGGGGTTACCTTTGAAACATTGTCACATTTGTCAACTGCAGCTTAAGAGCTTTGCCGTTCCCACCCTCTTCATCACAATTTCAGGTCACTGATGTGTGTTACTATTAAAGCTTTACCACCTGAAGTTTACCAAATTTGCATGGGTAAGAAGTAAAGGGAAGTTTCCAGCACGCCTTTGTTTAACACAGGTATTCAACAATGCAAGTAGTAGTACCTTAATACATGGGAAACTGAAGCATGGGATGGCTTAAATTATTTGTCAGGATCATCCTCATCTATGGTTTATGTGGAAGTGCCAAGAAGTGAATCTGGATTTCTTTGGGGGTCACATTTGTTAGTGCTGCTTTGTTGTTTTGTATCACTAATAATAATAATATTCATATTCTTGCTGGGCTGAATGTATCAAAAATCCTAAAACAACTGAGGTGTTTCACACTAATTCTACTACAGCTTTCAAAATTTGTCTCCTCTTGTATAAGAAGATACTTATTCACCTTCAAAACAGATACAGATCAAACATGCCCAAACAATCCTCCTCTGCTGCAGACCTCCTTTGTGGCCTGATGTTACCTGTGTCACCCTGATACTTTCCTATGAAGTGCTGGTCAGATTTCAGCCGCAGCTCAGGAAGGGAACCTGCTCAGCTCAAGTAATGTGCTGATACAGGGACTGGTCTAGGATGTGTGATTTGTAAGGTACTTGCATTGAGAAATGATGAATTTGATGAAAAAAAAAAAAAAAGGTGGAAACCCCTTAGTTTAGGAAATGAGAGATAAAATATAATAAAACCATTTTCATGGCCAGTCCACATTTTTTATACCTCTTTTTTTTTTTTTTTTTTAAATAATTTTTATTATTTGTTTCAGAAATGCCAGCTAAAAAATTAATCTGAACAAGAATTCAAACCAGGATACCTGGTTCTCAGGGCATTGCTAAATACCCCTTATTAAAATCTCATAAATCATGTTGATGGTTCAAAATAAAACTATTCTTTCTTGTTTATCTTTTGCTCTCTGCCAGTTGACAAATATTTGGAAACTGCTTTAAGCTTTGGCACATGCTGAGTCCTTTAGGTTAGTGAAATCGGGTTTCTTCCCATACCCTTAAGAACTTGAATCCCACTTAGATTCTGAGCAAAAAAATGCACAAGAAAACTACAAACAAAGAAAGTTAGAGTACCAACCAGTATGAAGGGCGATCATCCATGCCACCATTTTGTGAAAGGTGAGGTTCCTGTCCAGCTGTCGTCTGATACGGGTAGAGCAGCACTTCGGGTATGAAGAAAAAAAGCATATTGGAAGACTGTTTGTGTGGTCTATGCACACTTTTTAAATGCAGGGACAAAAACAGTGACCCTGAGCACAACAATTGGTGGCTTTGCTAGGAAAAATCTAGAACTCCTAGATGTAGTAAAAAATATTTTAGCCCATACTTCAGAAAATGGGAGTAACAGGTTATGTTTCAACCTGTCTCACTGAAACTAAGTTTTTGATAATGAGAAAAAACTTAGCATCCAGTAGGACAAAAGTATGTGTCTTATCTATGTTAAATTACAGGTTATAAACAGAAGGAAGGATCACAGTCTACCATGGCAGATTCTCAAGTTGCCACTCAGCATCAGGATCCCACAGATGTGGTTCACACTGTAGAAATGGACTGTAAAGCTTGGGTCTAACTGTCTCAGACAGCTCCCATCCCAAATATGCTAATCACTTATGGTGATAATACAAAGGGATTCCTTCCCCAAAACACTGGGTGTACTTGCAGGAATTCACTTACAACTTGTTGTTGGAGTTACCCAAAAAGGGACAGAAAAAAATCTCTGCTGATACAAACCAAAGAATTTGGTTCTTAAGAAAAACACAATGGTATTTTCATGAGGGATGATGATGGGTTCCTAACAGGCTCCATCTGAATTGTGCTGCAGTCACTGGGAGTCTTCCTAGAACTTTAAGTTCCTGTAAAGCTGGCATTTGCTGTCTCCACACAGCAGAAGGCATGATTATCATGTGCTGTAGCTTTGTATTGGGTTTGCTGGCTGGCCAAGGGAAGTAAACACATTGTAAACTTACACAAACATTTCTACACAAGGAGCAAACACCCTGGGGCTGTTGCAATGATTTATGTAGACTGTAATATCAGCCAGGAGAAATTTCTCTGTACCTTGAGACACAACTAAAAAGATTGTAGAATAAAATGTAGCAGGAAGTCCCAGCTGGAGTACAATTCTCAGTGCTTGGAATCAGGTTTTAGCCTTTCAGTAATCTGTCAGTATCTTGAGATCTTTCACTGCTTTGACCTTGGGAGATCTCTGCCCAACCCCCTTTCAGATCAACCTCTGTGGAATCTCAAGAAGGTCTTGACCTCGTCATTTTCCTGTTGCATTTGTCCATTAGCAACCATATTTCTTACAAAATTTATGTTCATTATTGACTTCTGAAGCCTGAGGAGTCAGCTCTGAATTTTGGCAGATACTAGGTGATCTGTCTCGGGTTGGAGGGAGAACAGTTTCGACCCTACAGTTTTACTTACTATTATTTTTCCTTTTACATACATGGAAGTTATGGTTGTCTGCTTTTGTAGCAGCACAGAATCTGAAGGAGTACAGGAAAAGATGAAAACCCAATGTGTGTGGCTCCAAGTTTATATTTCTAAGTGTTGTACCTTAGAAAGTGTTGTACCCGGCCTTACTCCTGAACGTAATTTAGGAGCTTAATGTGGCAGTCACATCTCATTTATTCAACCACACTCATTTTCAGGATATATGTACTAGATGGAGGAACAGCCTGGATTGTCTCTGATTATTTTCTTATTACTTCATATCCTGCTCTCTTCCCTTATGAAGGACTCTTGAAACACTGCATCTATTTTACCACTTCCTCTCCTGCTCTGCTTTTTCAGCCCCCACAGGCTGTCTCATTGGCATGAAAGAATTCATACTAGATTTAGAGATGAAAACCAGCTGCTGTGAACTGTTTTTGTTGATCATGTGTTTATTAGAGGGGCCAGAAAGAAAAGAGGAATCATTATATATTTGGAAGGACATTTCATGAGCTTGAGGAGAATATTGCTTTTTCACTGGATTGTGACCTTCACTATCTGCATTATTCTGCTGTAATAGCCTGAAATCTTGTTTTTGGCAGTGTGATACAGTCAGTAGTATCATAGAAAGTCCCTCTAGCTGTCACATAGAATCACCTGTGCTTGTCTTAGTGATGGTTCCTTAGTGCTGAGTATAACAGCTGCACTTGGGAGAAAAAGTCAAAAGGCTGTGAACTGTTTCATCTTGAGATGGAAACACAAACCAGACAAGAAAGAATGTAATTCATGAACCAGCTAAAGAAAAAGTCCCATTCTGGATGTCTGTGAAAGACTACATTTGTCTTAGGCTGATCATGCAAAGATGGCAGACATGGGCTGATATCCCTCTCTAAATGGGTGTAAGCACCAACAGCCACTGCCAGCCAAAAGAGGGACTCTGCATCCACAGGGCAGCACCAGGCTAAGGAGGCATCAAAAAAGGGAGGACTAATTCAAGGCTAAGCCTCTCAAGAGAGCTCTAGATACACCAGTAGATCTCAGTCTTGCTCATAACAAAACTCCAGGCTTAACTGCTTCTTAAAAGAGGACATCCCCAAAGTGTGGTATATTTGGGGAACTTGGACAAAGTTTCTCGGCATATTTGCAAGGCTGTTCAGGTTAATATCTTTCATAAATTTTGAAATGCTTTCTTCATCTTACCGCACTTGATCCTCTGAGGAAGGAGAGCAAGTTTCGACATACTGGCAGCAGAATCAGCATGCAATTGAAATTCAGGCAAGCTGCAGGAGCCCTTGCAAGGGCCAAGGCACGCTGTAATTGGAGAGTTGCTGTTATTAAATGCACTGCCTAAGACATTATACGGGACACAGATAGGCACAAATTTAATTTATTCATTATATCACAACTTCTAGTGAGTGTGAGACCTAGAGAGCATTCACATTTCACAGTAATCATGCTCTGGTCAAGTCAGAGACACATGTGCAGGCAGAACACATTCCTCCAGATAGACACCTTCAGTTTTGAAATAATACGGTATTTGTATAAAAAACTCCCCGTCATGTCTGGCAAACAACAGTCAAACACAGATGCAAATCTAACCATTAGTAGAGTTTTATGTCCCAAGGCTGTAAAGAAAGTCTCACAGCTGTTGCTTCAGTTTGACTGGGGGTTATGGTAGATGGACACCTTATGAGGGACGTGGCGTAAGTTCTCTTTCGTTGCCACATCTTTTAGGAATCTGTTTCCTTAATGTTGGTTTTCACACCCTAAATTATTTCAGATTTTTGAACAAAGACTGTTTGAAATGAGGGAATAATGACCATATTAATCCAAACACAACGAAGGGAAGGAAAAGATAATATTTGCTTTCCTTGCATGGACTGGGACCCTTTCAGGTTTCAGACCACAGCTACTCACTTGGGGCTACACTGAGCCAAACTTATCCAAGTCTCAGGTCTCTGAGACTTCAAAGGCAACTACACCATGATTGCCAAGGACAGGATTTGGAACACAGATCTGAAGCTGTATGCAGAATGGGATTTCATGCTTTGTTGAATTAAACCATGGCTTTGCAAACCTTTGACAAAACCCTGTGCTCTGTGATTTGAAGCTTAGGCTGATTCTTGTGTCTGCGATCAGGGTTTTAAAATATGTGAACAAATTAATTTTCCCTGTCAGTTGGTCATGACCCGTGGTAGCTTTGGAAGCAAGTTTTTAGTAGGACACATAATGCTGCATTAAACAGTTGGATTATATTGAATAGCCCAGGATCCAGGATCATTTCACAACTGAACTGTAATTCAGATGCTTGATGAATATGTGAGTGATGATTGCTTTTCAGAGCTCATATCTTTGTAAACTATTCATGCTCTGAAAAAATATTTGCAAGAGAAAATAACTGCACAATAGTTCAATGGCAATATTTTATTCATCTTTTGCTTAATAAAGAAGCCACAATTAATGTTTACTTTTATTACCAGGAGCATAATAGTTACCAGAAAACATGTTCGGAATGGGATCTCTCTATTTTGTGTACCAGCTTTCTCTTCAGAAGCACTTGACATCTCTCTGCATTCAGTTACCTGTTTGCATGTGACTTTTAACTCCTACATGAACCTGCTGCTCCAGCCACTTGACCCTGCTTCAATCAAGTAAAACCAGGCAAAAATGCTGTGCTCTGTCTATGCCAAGGTAATAATGTCGTGTACTTACGCCGAGGAGTACTCTGGTGTAGAAGAACTTTGGTGGGACATCGTACACAAGGTAGTACCACCAAAAGAGGAAGACATTTAACCCCAGCCACACAAGCTGAAAGAGAATTAAACAGGAAGCTTACAGTTTGTTGTTAGAGATCATCCATCTGAATTTGCACAGTTTAGATAATGGTCGATTAGTTCCCCATGCTTCTGTTTGCACAGAGAGTTGTTCTGCAGGGTATAAATGTTTCAGCAGGGATGATTTTTCTGGTGTAAATGGGCTCTGATGTGTGCACACAGGGCACAGGAGTGGCAATAAACCAAAATACAGCAATGTGTGGCTGAAAATTTTGCACAGCTCAAAGACTTTACACATAATTGTGTAAGGACCACGATATTGCAGGTGTTTAACTAATTTTGTGAGTAGCTGAATCTCCAAACATGATTAAAATTTAGGGATCTTATGGTTGTTCCTCAGGCAGCTCCAAATGGCAGCTCCTCAGGCACATTAACCCATGTATGAGGAAGACTTAGGAGTTATGACAAAGGACAAAGAAGCTTGAAATCTAAACACAGATAGCCTAAATTACACCTAGGGCTGAATTGAAGAGGAGGCTTTGAGGGTCTGAAATCAGCCATCAGGAAATATTAAATATTGGTAGCATGCAGACTACCCAAAACTGGGCTTCTTCATAGCTGTACTGCAGAATTTTCTCACACTTGCTCATCTCATGGTGCAAGTTTTCTCAGGTTTCTTTAGCAAAAGACAAGTTATCAACTCTTAGGTTCATCTGGGCAAAAAGATCATCATGAACCTGGGCATTTGCCCTCCTGGAGCTGGTTGGCTGATTTCATGTCCCATATTGAAACAAATCTGCATCAGTGCACACTCAGTCTAAGTAGGTTTTCTGAGTGATGCATGAAAACAGAGAGAAGGTCTGAGAACTGGGAGAGAACCCAGTTCTCAGACTTTCAGATAGTTCTCTGGTCAGAAGGTGAGGATTCCAGGAACTGTGACATTACAGTCCCTCACCCCTGCTAACCCTAGTTATCCTGACATATTTTACTAATTGTTTTGGCTCAACTGACACTATATATAAAAAAAACAAACCTTGGGATTAGTTCAGATCTTGAAAATGTAAATAAATACTGGGAAATGAAGGGATTTCCAACAGGGCAAGGCAGTATATGGGAAATCCCCAAGTCCTCATTAAAACACCAAGGATTTGGTGCTCAGGATTAATGTGAGGATTAAAAGCTTAGTATACACTCTTGCACACTCTGACTTTAAATAAATATCCTAAGCATTTAAAACAGCAAGATGCTTGGCCTTATCTTGATGGTCTTTTACAGTTCTTCTGGGTGTTAACCCAAATGAAACATGGACCCTTGGCAGCTTGGGTAGAGTTGCAGTCAGACATTTCTTTGACCAGGACCAGTGGAGGCAGCACAGGATGGGATTCAGGCTGACATGTTTCTGCTCTGTTGAGTTACATCGGTAGAAATTGTGTCTGTCCTGTTTCTGTCAAGCACTGGACAACCCTGTACCTGGTCAATGTGCAGCAAAGCTGCAGCAAGCCAAAGCAGAACCCTTCAGTAAGGCTTCCACTGATCTGTCCTTTTAGCTGGTTTTATCAGTGTCTCCATTGGTTTCCTTCCCTATTGGCTGACCTTGTTATAGCTTTGAGGCTTTAAACCCACATTCCTTATTTGAACAAAATAAAGGCCTCTTACTTAATTCTTTTAATATTTCAGTTCTGGTGGAAAAAAAAAAAGAAAAAAAAAAGCCAAAATTGACCTCTTGGCAGTTTCAACTTCCTCAAGTCACTGAAGGTGACAGCAAACACAGTTACACCCTTTCAAAGCACTGAAGTGCCACGGCTAAGGGGTTATGTTCATAAACTAGAGCTCCTCATCTACAGTGTAATATGAAAGTATTGATTCTTCATAGCAGCAGAAATACTCCTTTGAATAAGGATGTTCACATTTCCATCACCACAAATATCTAAGTTCTATGTCTTCTTTTTCTTCCTTTCACCATTTACATCTACTAAGCACACTTGGCAACAACACCTTAACTGCTCTTACATTTTTGTGTTGTATATGTATTTAATATATATATCTGCATATAGGATATATATTTAGGTATACCTGTAGCCCTTCACACTGTGAAGTGAAAAAAACACTGAAATATTAACAGTTTTCTCCAAGGAGGACTGCCCTGGTTACTCTTCAGCACTCTTAAATGCAACTGGGATTTTCAACGATTTTAAATTTTGCTCAGAATTAATTTAACCTACTTTCACAGCCCCTCTATGCAAGCTGTAAACAAATTCAATTAAAATAACTAGTTCTCCTGATGAAGGATTCATGATCCTCTGCTCTCAATTCTTGAATCTGACTCTAATACATATTTTGTACCATCAGGACACTGTGCCTTCAGTTGCACCCACTTTTGTTTACAAAAGTGCAAGAAAAGGTGGTTGATGTAGTTGCTTTCTTTGTTGAAGTGCACAGTCAAGTGAGTTGCAATGTCACTTTTTTCCTTAACTAAAATATTTCTAACAAAGCAAATTAAAGTTAATATTGGATCATTTCTCAGTTAACAATGAAGACTACAGCAACTGAGATACCAGACAGAACTCCTGAAAAAATTATTCCCTTGAAGCATTTCCCTGCACTTGCTGCCCTAGTTTCAGCACGGTCAGGTGCATCGTTCCCTGGCACAGTGAGAACTGCTTAGCACAACTTTCTGTAGAACTTTTTTCTTGTCACAAATCACAATAAAAATTGTACTTACAACGACGAAGATGGACAGTCCTTCATTCTCCACCCAGTTACCCATGATTGCCTGAGATGTGTGTGCACAACAGCCCCACTCTCTCTGGGACAGCCTCTATGTCTTCTCTCATAAGGAAGTGAGAGTAGAAGCTTGCAGCAACTTGTTTCCTTTCTCATTCATTTAGGAAATAAGTTAACCATTGAATCATGCCCACAGTTCTCTTTCAAACATGTTTCTATCATCTTTACATATAATTTTTCATAACACAAATATATATAAACTGTTGAAATAGCCCACTTTTTCTTTCTGATACAAAGGATAAAGTAAATAATACAACTGGTCAAGTTTTCTGCTAAAAAATGTGTTGCCACTTTATAGAACTTTAAACTCTGAGCTGTAATATAGAAAGCACAAAAGAGTTATCTGTGCCCAGACTTGCCATTTTTTAATCACCTCAGGTCTGAGATGCAGTTCATGCTGATCCTTGTTGATAAATAATCACAAGTATTATTTCTCTTCCAGTAATTCAGTGTACACAGAAGCTTCAAAGTGTAATCTAACGCTCTTCTTGTGTAGTACATTCAAGCCTTGCTAATTCTTCTCTGTTCTGGCCAAAACTGAGGACATTAGATGGGCTATTTTTTCATATTTTCCACTCTTACTGAGCCTCCAGCCCAGGAACCAGGTCACTTCATGCTGTGGTTTAACCAGAGCTGGCACCAAAGCACCACACAGCTGCTCATCCACTCCCCTGGTGGGGAGGAAAATCAGAAAAAAAAACAGTAAACCTTGTGGGTTGAGATAAGAACAGTTTAATAATAGAAACACAATAAATAAACAAAATAATAACAACAGCAGTAACAATAATAATAATTATAATGAAAAGGAGAGAGAGAGAAAGGAACAAAACCCAAGAAAAAAAGTGATGCTCAATACAATTGCTCACCACCCTCTAAACGCTGCCCAGCCTGTCTCCCAGCAGGGATCTGTGGCTCCCAGACAGTTCTCCCAGCTCATATACTGGGCAAGATGTTCTACTTTATGGAATATCCTTTTGTCCCATTTGGATCAGCTTCCCAGCTGTGTTCCCTCCCAGCTTCTTGCACAGCTCCTTGCTGGCAGAGCATGAGACACTAAAAAGTCCTTGGCTTGCACTGCCCAGCAACAACTAAAACATCAGTGTGTTATCAACATTATTCTCATCCTAAATCCCAAACACAGCACTGTACCAACTGTTTGGAAGAAAACTCTACCCCAGCTAAAACCAGCACCCTATATAAGAAAAAATATTAAACATTTTGCTTTTGTGATTAGAGAAAAATATAGGAAATTTTACAAATGTACTTCAGCGCTTACAAGCCAGAGGATATCTATCTCAAGTGTGTTTAAAAAAAAAGAAAATTAATGGAGTTTAATGATTTCTGAATGTTTTGCCTCTGTAGTATTACAGTGCCAAAATCTGCAGTAAATAGTGCAAAATGGTGGGTTGGAGGAAGCTTTGTGATTAACAGGGACCATCCTTTGTAAGGTCCAGGCCCCTAGAAGCAGCAAGGCATCCTGTCTCCTGATGGCTCATTTTCTCATGTATTCCACCCACTGTCCCTCAGAAATAAAGATCTCCTCCCAAAGCTACTGAGATGAGTCTGCTTCCTTTCCAGGGAGATGTAACATGGTTTTTTTAAAAGACTGTTTTAGGCTTTAGAAAGCAGCAGAAAGGCAGTTTGAGTGGCGATGTCTCTCTGATGCTACAACTTGTTGGACCCTGCAGAATTTCATGGATCTGAAAGCCTGAGCCAGCCTGGAGCAGCCCCGTGCTGTGCTGACAGCTTTAGAGAACAGCCACATTCCCACAGGCCTGATCCAGCACCTGCTGGAGGGAACAGCAAGCTGCTCATGGCATCTGTTTGACTAAAGTTTGCTCTCCAGAGTAAAAGCTGATCTGATCTGCAACTGAGAAGGAGATGGTGAACCACTAATGAGGACAAGAACTGGAGAGGTGGGATAAATCCGGCGTGACTCACAGCCTTCAGAAAAAGGACTCTGCACAGCCTGCCTTACTCTGGAACCAGAAACTGTATTAAGGTCTGATTGAGGCAGTGATGGGATATTTGATCATGATGTGAAAATGAGGGTGAGGGGACCTGGACCGAATACCCATGTACTGGTGAATGTCTCTCTTCCCTCCTCTACTTCCAACACACCACTCCCTTGATTGAATTTCTCCTGGAATATGGCTTCCATCAGGTGACACAACTGGGACTTAAACAAAGATCCATTACAGCAAAAAACTCACATATTTCTGCATTTTTCCTAAAACAGATAAACACAGCTATTTAAATGATTCAGGTGGTTTCTGCATTATTGTTCCTTCTTGTGATATAGAGAAGAGACGTCTCAAATGTAGCCCAGGAATACTTCACCTCCTCAGTGTAGGCAGGACTTGCAGTGTCATAAACATCTTCCTCCTGAAGCCTCTCAAGCTTCAGTAACTGAAAATCAAAATGAAGTCTTCAAAATCTGTTAAAAGGGGTTTGCAGCAACCTCATTTGGCAGGCTCTGTGATGGGCCAGGCTCTCGTGTGGTATCAGTCATGTTCATGGCCATTCCAAATGGATCATGGAATCATAGAACGAGAGAATGTTTTGGGTTGGAAGGGATTTTAAAGATCATCTAGTTCCAACATCCCTGCTATGGGGAGGGAGACCACCCACTAGATAGGCTGCTCAGGGCCCAATCCAGCCTGACCTTGAACACTTGCAGGGATGGGGCAACAGTTTCAGGGATGCTGGGTGCCATGAGAGCGTCTGGTCCCCCATATATTTGTTTAGGGAGGCAGCCTCTGGAAGCTGAACAGTTGGAGCGATTTGGGAAGGAGAGGAGGGGGGCAGTTCTGAATTGTGGATGTCCATTCTGGCTTTGAGGACTAGCCTGTTCTTCCTGCCCAGAAATGGCAGTGTTCTCATTGCCTTTTTCTTCTCCTTAGCTCAGGCTAAGCTACTTGCACCTTCTCTGGGGTGAGCAAGTGCAGAGTAACCTTGCCTGGAAGCTCCTCAGACACCATAGCCCCTGAATCATGGATTTACTGGCTCAGAAGGTTTCTGAGAGGCCACAACCCCAGAAGAGGCTGAATCTTGGATCAGTCACAACAGTCACAAAGTCTGACATCCTCTTAACAGCCTGAATACAGGCCATGAAACAGAGTATATTTCAGCTGCCCCCAGCCTAGCAATTGTTAAATGCAGACGCTGCCTGAAATCAAAAGAAATGGCAGAGGTGCTGGGCCCTTCCACAGCTGGTGAGTTCTGGTGCTCCCTGATGCTTGTGAGTTTTCCTATTAATTTTGAAAGTCCCATGACAACACATAGCAAATATTGCCTGTTGCAAGTGTGAGTATAAACAGTACCCAAACCACCCACACATCACCCCTGATTTAATTCTGATTCTTCCACCTTCTGAATGAGTGAAACATCTTCGCTATTACAAAACCTTTCGTGTCTTGTACTTTGTTCTAATTTGGAAAATGCATCCTGTACAAGAAAAGGCAACATTGGCTGCTGTGCATTAATTAAATAGGAGTGTAACACTGGAGAATGGAAAAAATTAAATGCTACCTCATTCTGTTTCTAAAATTTCTCTCAAGCTATATATTACTCACAGCATTTTTCATCCTTCTTTGCACTGAAAAGTTCAGTGAATGGGGATCCTTTTGCACCATGACAGTATTGCAAAAGTGTTCAGGTCTCAGGGTTCTTAATTTCCTTGCAATAATTTTACCCCATTGCCTTGGAATTAATTTAGTTCTTCTCCTGCTCTGTGCAACAATGGTCTGTGCTGCACAAATTTGAGGCCAGACACCTGCAATTGGCTGAGGGGTTTCATATCTGCCTCCTAAAAGGGACAATGAAAAATTCTGCAAGTATAAACTCCAAAAGAGAGAGTGATATGATGAACAGAGCAAAAGAGACCCAGCCCCTCCTTCTCGTGTAGTGGGAGGAAAACCAAGGAGGGACCTTGATTAACCTCTTTTGTTTTGTGTGCTGAAGTCTTTATTTTGAATGCTGTGCAATACTTGTTTACCAACCATCCCTTGATTCTACACCAAAGAGGAAGAAGCAAACAAGAGGCTTGTCAAGCTGTCTTCCCTGAAGGGACTCTTCACACACAGCCTGAGGCTGTCAGTGCATGCACTTGCCTTCACTCAAGGGAATGGCACAGTTTAAAATCCTACTCTTTCTGTTTTGTTTACAAAATAAATTATTCCATGCTGAGATAAGGGCAGAAAAGAGGATAGATATGAACCAGGAAAAAACATGTCAGTGAGACTCCAGTAAGGACTGGCAGATCCTTCTAGGTCTTTGCTTTACACTATAACCCTCAGTATAACCCTGATCCAGGACTTCCTCACACCGCCTTTTGCAATGATCATGAGAGAGCCACATGCTGTACTAAAAAAATCCAGATGCTATTTGCCACACCAGTCTTGGCTTGAAGTCAAGCAGCACTATCACAGAACAGGCCAGAATGGTCAGACACTGCTGTGTTATTGGAAGGATGAGCCACCACCAGCAACATACCCCACCTACGGAAATTTAATTCCATTAAGCAGGCAGTAGTTTTGGTGTAGAGCTAGAATAAAGTTTTTTATATATATATATAACACAAAAATATATATTTTATATACATATATTATATACAAATAAACATATTTATACACACAAATATATACATACATGTACATAATATACATATATATACACATATATATACATACATAATATACATATATATATTATACAGCATAACCTCCCATGCAGTAAAGGCAGAGGCCAAAATAACCTGGCTTTGCATGGGACTGAGGGAGAGGAAGCCTAGCTTACAGCCTTTCTGCAGGGTCCCAGCCTTCGTGATCTGCTAATTTGTCTCTGGAACACAACTATTTGCTCTCGCTCTGTAGCGAGACTTCTGTTCCCGGAGCTTCAGATCCACTTCGTTTACACGTGCCGGTGACAGCCCAGGGTCACTCACCTCCGTCTGGAGAGAGGGAACTTCACCAGCGATTTCCCACTCAAGGAAACACCTCGGAAGACGTGAGCGAGGGCAGGTTCTCCTAAGTCGGTGGTTCTCCAGCCCGAGCGCTCCCCGCAGCTCGGCGGTGCCACCGCCTGGGCAGCGCCGGGACCCAGCATCGCTCCCAGGGCACGGCTCAGCCGAAGGAGCTGGAGATG